TCTCCTCCTCCCTAACTGCTAAACAAACAGTAGCTAGGACAAATCCTGCATAATTACACAGAAGGGAGAATACAGGTAGGCAAATAAAGGTGCACCTGTAAAACTGGTCTCTGTTTAGGCTTCCTATGGGTGAAGTGAATTGTGTTTGCTTTGTTCGAAGGGGCCAGGTCACAGCACCCTTTCCGTTTAGAGTTGGATAAGCCTTTTCTGGCTCTGAAATGATAGCACCTGCCAGCGACCAAGTTTCAGAAAGTGGTGGCCACTTCAAGGTCAAGCTGGGTACTCAGAATCCCTAGTCCCTTATCAGAGTATTTAGGATGCAACTCCCTGTAGGTTTGTCTACACTGGTACTTTCCACTTCACATTCCCAGCTGTTGCAACTACCAATGAGATTTCCATGTGCAACATGGATGGGAGCACTAGCTTAAGCCATCCTCCTTCCCCCCCATTTTAACTACATTTAACCCTGATCAGAATGAGGATAGATGGGTGAAGGTCTCAGAGGCTCCCAACCACTGTTGGCCTTCTCCTGCTATGTCAAGTGCAACAATAGGAAGTTAAGTGAAAAATGCCAGTGCTGATAAGGCCAGGGTCTGTGGCAGGAGCTCCTGGGTGCTGTGCAACATTTCAGAACAAAGCAATTGGATCCTTTCTGGACAGGCATTTTGTCTGTTATCTATGCAAGGATTTGTCAAACACTGGACTTTTGAAAATAAAAGTTTGCAACAACCTGGGTTTTGTGTAGCAAAGTGTAGCTCCCCAAGGCTCCTGCCAGCGTGGATGTGACAGGCATGGATATCTCCATGTGTACAAAAACAGAGATAAGTTTCCCTCTTAGATCTTTCCATTATCCTAAAACAGGCCCTGCCAAATTGCTGGAGACCAGTGATCTCATTTGCTTTTTGCCTGTTGGGCTTAACAGGAGAGCTAGGGACTTGAGGGAACATTGTGCGAGCCCCAGTGGACAATCAGGACACACAAGATGTTGTAACTGGTGTATAATATAGCTCCTTTTCTGGAAACCAAAAGGGAATGGTTGTGAACAGCCCTGCCTTGCCAGCATTTGCTCAGTCAACACAGTGTGGAGAGAACCAGGCCAGCTCACAGGCTTCGAGGAAGGAATGGGGTCTGACTTTGTCTTCCCGGCTGGGATACAGTCTCATGCTGTCCCAAATCTCTCTCGGGTTCCTGCCTCTATTACATTGCCCGATGCTGCCATCTGTAGCACAGAACAGATAGCACCGCTTCAATCCTCTTCTTCATTTAGTGCAGTGGTTCTCAATCTTTTTAGACTCAAGGCACCACTCGGAAAATGCCAGCTCTTGGTTTTCACTTGTTTGACTACAGAAAAATAATAGAGCAATTTTTCTGGTGCAAAGAACCCAGGAAGCCCACAACAGGGCAGAATGGTTTTAACACTATGGATTTGAAATCTCTGGCTTTACCTTGTGAATCACATTTGCACACCTTACACCATTGGTATTAGGCATTCTGTAGCACCCTTCAAAGAATCTCAAGACACCCCAGGGTGCTGCAGCACCCTAGTTAGTTTCCAGCTACCGATACTGTACTTCTCACTGTTGCCTCGGAACAAGGAGAATGGGGGCTATTGAATAAATCATCTGACTTTTCACATATGCGTATGTATTTTTATGTGGAGATGCTTCTGCTCTCACTTTTAGGCAGCAAAGTAGGTCTGTAAAGCCATCTCATTCTAGGCAGGTAACTCATCGCTAGAGATGGAAAGGACTCACTGCGGCACCTAGTCCCCCACACCGTGCCAGGGTAGAACTGCTCCCTGCAGCACATTATCCAGTGTTTTTTTCCATTTTAAGTTTAGAAGTCCCAGGCTGTAGGATTCCTACCATCATTTTCCTTCTTTAGTCTAGAGAGCTCGCTCCTGGACACCTTCCTGATATTCACCCTAAGCCTTTCCTCTCTTAATTTCCAACTCCTTTAGCTTTGCCCCTTGATAATCCCTTCCATATTCCCTCCCTGTTCTTGCTGTTTGCCCCCTGCCACCCCTTGCTCTGCCTTCTGCAGTCCCTTCCAAGCCTAGTTATATGTAATGGAAGTCTTCAACAATACTCAGTAACTTTGCAGAGTCAGGGAAATGGCGAGTGCTGTGGAAAAGCCTGCTCATTATAATGGAGCTATTTTCAAAGTTCCCATGTCAGTCTCCCCCATCTCAGGACATCTGTGTGGCTCTTCCCCCTGCCTCTCACTGCCACATGTTCTGCATGGGACTGTGCCCTAAAACAACTAGGACACTGAAGCTAATATAAAAAAGGAAAGGGGCCTGCTGGTTAGGTGTCAAGTAACGCTAATGGCCTGGAACCTACATTGGCAGCTGAATAGATTCTCAATTGACTGTAATGGCTTTGCTCTCCTCTCCTGGACACCATCTCTCTTTCCTGCAATGCATTTTGCAATAGGGTTCCCGGGGCGGGGGGGAGCTTGGGCTTCTGGGGAGAAAGAACAATTTGGTAGCAGGGGGCATTCTGCAATGGGCCTGAACGTTGGAATTTCCTCCTGCCTGACTTGGTTTGAAACAGTTTGAATTCACGACCCTGTATGGCCTGTGATACAGCCTCTCTACTGGGGAGACTTAAGATGTAAGGACCTGGAGGTAGTGATAAAAGTTAAAGTTTAGAGATGCTCCCTAACAGAAGCCTGAGGAAGTTGGACATTTGGGGATAGTCCCTCAGAGGGAGTACCTAATTAGTCCGAGAGCGAGTCCTGCAGAGGCTCAGTTACTGCTCCACAATAAAACTTGTTAGTTCTTCTCATTCTTCCTGCCTGCATGTGTTGAGTTCAGCGATCACTACCCGGGAGAAGTTTGGACGGGATGGGTGGATTTTTAATTGGGAGAAGCAGAATTTGCAGTAGGTAAAGAAGGCAAATCTCAGTCTTGTGTTTGGCTTCTTTAGCACATAGAGAAGCTGCTGGGTTATGTCTCTCCTGGACTGTGCTTTTAATGATCTGTTAAAGGCACCCGAGCCTGGGATATAAGCTCTCTTTACACTCGTCTTCCAGAAGCAAAACAAATGCATGAACCAGCATCAGCACGGAGGCTCACACGCTAGGAGGCCCCAGCCTCAAGCAGTGGGTTTTTGCAGAACCACTCCTGGATTATCCCAGGCTATCAAATGCCCAGGGGTGAAATGTAGCATGTGTTTTTAATACGCTTGCACTGTGAAGGAAGGGAAATGCACAGAAGTCGCTCACCATAACTCGCAGACTGGCTGTGAGCCTCAGTCTTTAAGCGGGTGGCACAAAAGCTTCCTCTGCAAGGATGTGGGGAAGCAGTAAACTGGCATGGGGAATGCCCATGGAAGACCTTCCACCATAGGTGGGAACTTTCCCGCTGGCTTCAGGAAGCCCTGTGGCTGTCATGGTGCAGCTGCAGTTGGCACAGGGGGGTCAGAAGCAGCTAAAACTCCAGGTGGTATAGGAAACCTGTTACCTGCTCTGCCAGTTCCTAATTCAGGATGCCCCTTGGAGAGGGAAGCCCTCCATGATGAAGGGAATCCTAGTCCAGGTAAAACCCTAACATCAACCCCCAACTGGCCTAGGAGGCTGCCACCATCCACCCACCACCCCCAAACACCAACAAGGTGTGTCTGGCACAGGGGGCCCACCTGGTACTGAGGGAAATTGCATTTTGTTTCTCACTGCATTTGGGGTAGGGGCCTGGGCAGCCTAAAATCCTGGGTCATGCTGCTGCTGCTGAAGTTTATTTCCTCATTTTTTACCCAAGAAATAGCAATCACATGACACCCCCCGCCTTGTCCTGCCCTCCCCACAGTATGCCAGCGATGTCCCTGGAAAAACTCAGCATTGCCATGTCTCTCATTAGGCTCCAGAGCTAACAGGCATGCTGAAAGGAGCAGCAGCAGCTCTCACTTCCCACAGAGCTATTGCGTCAGACTCAGATGTGACCACCCGGCTGCATTAAAGGCAGAGACCTGCCGATGCATTAGAGACACAGAGAGGGTCCGGTCCCAGCACAGCACAGAGGCATCCCCCCACTGCCGAGCCTTCCTCTGGAGCACATCAAGCAGGCAACTCCATTGCAGATTTGCTAGGGGAGAGAGGGCGAAGAGGCAGCAGGCATGGGGGTCCCCCCCCAAGCCGATCCATGGCTGTGGGAAACATCCGAAAAGCCCCTGGGGAGACTTATTGTATCGGGCAGAAAGGGGGAGCGATGGAGTGGGTGGAATGTGCTGACGCCGGCGGAGCGCGAGAGCCTGAGCGCTGCTGACAATTCATGCTTTGTCAGGGGCTGCCCAGTGGAAGCACGTGGTAGAAAAGCAGCGGGGACAGGGTGGGAATCAGCTGATTCGGAGCCAGGATGCCAGCCAGCGAGGAATTCAGGAAAAACAAATGGGAAAAATTCTTCCCGGTCAGGCAGAAATCATCACTCTTGGGCTGACGCAGTGCAGAGCCAGGAGACGGACGGGCAAGGGGTCCACACTCCCCCCATGACCTGAAAAGGGGAATATTCGCTTTAACTATCACTCTCCCCCGAGAGCTGGGTCCTCACCGCCAGTGCGATACACCCCGGGTGATTTCTCCCACTCCCCGCTGTCTTCTGCAGTCCAGTCGTTACGTGTGGAAGATTCGCCCAGAGGTTTGAGCTTCCCAACTGTCTCCATATCGGGAGGCACAAGGCCTGGTGGACCAAAACCCAGCAAGTAATCTGCTCCCGGGGTTACAATCTGAGCCCTCTACTCTGGCAGCGCTGCCGTGTGATGACTCCATCAGGATGACTACACTGCTGTGCCTATTGTCAGGGAAACACGAGGGCTGGATTAGTGCGGAGTGAATGAACAGTCTGAATCCACAGGGCAGGGCATGGGATTTTCTGCCTCTTCTCCCCCACACAGGGGGAGCGGGCTGACGGGAAAGGAGCACTCTCTCTTGTGTCTCTGCTAATCCCCCCACCCACGTGGCCTCCTGACAGCCAGCCTTTATATCAGGCCTTCGGGGCTGTCCCCCCAGCCCTGTGAACCTGACAGTGGAAAGACAGGCAAGCGGGATGGCACTGCGGGTAAGGGAGAGGGACTAGCCCCTGGTATAACTTGGCCTGATGAGCCGCGGCAGGGATTCGGGTAACTTCAGCAAATACCGCAGCAGCTTTGCAGTGGGGGGCAACAGCCAGAAGGGAGCCAGAGACCTAGAGGTACATGTAAGCAGCTGCCCGCCTGTCTGACCGTCAGGCAGTCGGTCCATCCTAATCGACTCGGGTGACACTTTAGGGTTTTGAGGGCCAGATTCTTGCCTCGGTTGCACCGCTGCTGATCCAGAGCACCACCACTGCCTTCACTGCAGTTATTTCAGAATTAGAGCCCGAAGCGGAGACCAGGATCTGGCCCAGCGTTTAGCCAATGTCGTTCTTTTGAATGTTAAAAGAACGTCTCCTGGGACAGCTGGTTGCAGAGAGGGAGTTATTACTGCGAGGTCTCTGGGGATGGAGGGATGGCAGGGTGGGATGGAGGGTTTCTGTATATGTTGTCGTGATTTTCCGGCTGTGGTCCAACAGGCCGGCAACAGACTTCCGCCCACTTTGAACTTTACAATCAGCTTTTCTGACCAGTGTTTTGAAGGAGGTAATAAGTAGCATAAGTCAATGTGTGCATGTGTGTGTGTGCCTCCTGCTGACTGAAGAGGGTTTAAGCGAGCGACATCTCTAGAAACAGCAAAGCAGGGGGCTGAAGCTTAATGGTGAATTGATTTTGAGGTGACTGCATCCTGGAAAGGCACGTGAGCTAGGAGGATCCCAAGGATGCTGCGGAAATGAATCCCAGTGACGGAGCGAGGGACAGGAGGGTGAGAGCTGTGAATGGAGCAGAGCCCCAGAGCCCACCAAAGCTGCGGTGACATCCCCCAGTGATGGGGAGAAGGATTCTGGGGAAGGGGAATAGAAACAAGGAGCGTGACAATCAAAGAGTGAGACGAGGCTGGGTGGGAATGGAAATGTCACCATTAGAGAAGGGTATCCAGGTTGTAGCCATATTGGTCTAGAGGAAAAAGCAATCAGGACTCATAGTGGAGATGATATCTAGTATTAAACCAACAACATTTTTGCAATAATTTTTTTTTTTGCAAGAAATTTTTTTTGCAAAAATCTTGTTGGTCTAATACAAGATATCATCTTTACTATAAGTCCTGATTGTTATTAAAGGAGAGCAGGGATTTGGAGCGTAAGAAAATTAGAGAGAGATTCCAGGCATGTCTTACTAAAAAGGATTATTTACTAAAAACACAAATTATTCAGAGAGGAACTCACTTGCTTTTGGTTTATATGCACTCTGGAGATGATATAACAGGGAGGAAAGCTCACCCCACATCTAGATACCTACACTGCATTCACTTGTGGATACCCCTCGGGTGTCTCTGTCCTTTGAACCATTCTTCAAGCCAGCTCAAAGTTTCATCCTCAAGTCTCTTAAGAGTTTGCATTTCTGGAGCTGAGGACAGAGAAGGATGCCTTAGGTTAGGGCTCTTACCGAATATAAGTTTAGGCAAGAATTGCAAGCAAAAGCTCTGGGGTTTCTCTGCGAATTGTTCTAGAGCAGAGATTTCTTAGCTCTACAATGGATGAAGCCAGATTTGTTGCCTCAAAAGGTGAGGCTGAGGGAGTGGGGCTGGATGGGACAGAAAAGGAAACCTGAGAGAGCGATGATGATTGAGGCCGAGTCTGAGAACCGACTTTCACAGCATCGCATGAAGCAGGATGCCACCTCTGAGAAAGCATGTGCCTCTCTGAGCCAGTTAGTCCCAGAGGTGCAACCTTGCTGCCCTGCCATGTACCTGAGGTTCTTTTTCTTAATGATATCTATCATATGGAGTGAGAAAGAGGCAGGGGAAAGAGAAAGAGGGGAGGAGATAAGGGAAAAGACAAAGAGGGGAGGACAAGAGAGAGGAGCTGAGATGTGAACTGGTAATAAGGACGTGGAGGGAGTACAGAGAGAAGGGGAAGAGGGCAGAGACACGAGCCTTTATTGCTATTTCACCCCCTTTCTCTTTATTCACAGTTTGAGGCATCTTGCCCAGAGGGGATCTGTCCAGGCTGGAGTGTGACAGTGAAAGGTGAAACAACCTCCAGCACCAGCATGTAAGGGCCCATGGCTGTGCTTCTAAGAGCACCATAGCATACCCAGGGACCCAGATGCCTGAGCTGTTTATTTCTCCCATCATTTAGGTTTGAAATTAATTTCCTCTGTGATCCAGGGGACCGTATCGCTTTCCACTTGAATCCCCGCTTCGCCGACTCCAAGATCTTCTGCAACTCCTTCCTAGCCAGCCACTGGGGGAAGGAAGAAGTGACGGATACCTTCCCCCTAGCAGCAAAAGAGCCATTCCAGGTAATAAGACTAGCCCACGGGTCCACTGCAGACACAATGTGCTAGGCAGACCGTGTGATTGTATTTAAGACTGGTCACTCAGTCCTTTCCCCTCACCCAGCTCTGCTGTCCTTGACACTGATTTAATTTGGAGTAAATCAGCCAACCTCGTTTCCTGAAATTTGGCTGCTTCAGCATGAGGGGCTGTATTTAGCCCAATGCTGTCTGGAATAAAGAGATAAAACTCCCAGGTATGCCTCTGGGCCCTATCATGGCATAAGCTCCATGTCAGATAAATAAGGAGCGTAAAACAGGTGGAAGCTGCAAAGCGGTGTAACTTGCACTGATGTGGCACGTGAGGACTGCACAAAGCAGGTGTGATGTAGGAGTGAAGGGGTACATCAGGGGGTGTATGAGTAGTAAGAAAGTCACTCGACAGGCAGATGTTAGGCAAAGCTTCCTTCACACACACACACCTGCAATTACCACTATGGTGCTTGCGGAGCCCTGCACAAAAGTCGCCTGCATTTACTGCTCAGCTGATTGAAGCCCAAGGCCACTGAAACGATCAGTGCAAGCTGCATGTGTTTTGCACACTCCAAGATCCCAGGTTAATGCAAGCGTATCCCTCATAGATTGCTACTGTCCAGTTTAAATCCACTGTGCAGCTGACGTGGAATTCGGCCCTGGTAGTAGATTCCATTAGACCAGAGCTGAGTGAATGATGCTTTTATATACCTGGCCCAGAAGGCCGTGGGTTCAAATCCTAGGCCTCATCATCAAGGTTGCCTGTGTTGATACAGTACTGCAGGGAAGCATTAGACTGCTGCAGAAATTACCTTTTGACCTGTTTTGTCATAGCAAGATCCTTTCCACTCCATTTGCCGACTGTCCAGCTACATATGTTTTTAGAAAAGATGAATAGGAACAGAATACAAAGTTAATGGAGCCTATAGTTGAATTATGGGTACCAGAAATGTCAGGATGTATAAGGAGAGAAGAAATTAATGTTGCTTCTCTTGGCCACATCAGTTTGCCAATAACTGGGGCCTTGTTTCTAGCAGGAAGATAAATTGATAGCAGGATCATGTATTTCTTTGATGCAATCCTGTTTCTCTCAGCACAGTAGAATCAAACAATAGGAAGAATTTCCTTTTTCTCACAGTCCCTAGCCTGCCATTCCAGCCGACCCTCTGCCCAAAAAACCTCTGTCTCAGTTTTCTCCTGGGATCAGACTGCTAGTGTTTCTTGTCTCCTAGCTCATGAACTGCTTCTCGCTTGCTTCTGACACATGGACATAGACAACTCTACCTATTAACATCCCACCCTTGTATTTGCTTTCAGCCTAGTCTTTGGGTGGTCATCTCCATTTTTTCCATTCTCACTAAACAACAGGTCATCTAACTGTTCCCGCATTTAGCTGGAATGGATAATAATCAGCATGTCCGTCAGTTCTGGAGGGGTTTGTGATAGATCACAGGTTAACTGCTCACTCTCTGGGAGCCACCCAACTTCATCATAACGATAGCATGAAAGAACTGCTAACTCGTATTTGGCATGATGGTAGAAGTCCATACACCTGGTGAAGCTGACTCACAGTCTCTCTTACATATTAAAGGTAGGGCAGGATTGCACCTCAGAGATGAACTGGTTCAACAAAGCATGAGCTTTTATACTTTCTGCCTGATTTCAGGCTAACATGGCTAACCACCTCTCTTACAGATTGAAATCTACTCTGACCAAGACTACTTCCATGTTTTCATTGATGAAAACAAGATCCTCCAGTTCAAGCATCGGCAGAAACAACTCTCGTCTATCACCAAGCTGCAGATTCTCAATGACATAACAATTTCTGCAGTGGAAATCACCAAACGAGCCCTTTATTAGAGACCGAAGCTAGGACAGACTCACCTATCTGCTCACCATTAAGTGCCCTGCTCTACTAGATAGCCTCTCCCCTTCCTCTTCCCCCCATCATCTGCCCTCACCAGGAGGATGGACGCTGCTGAAGAATACTTCGGCACAGAATTAGAAGTTAATGCAATCTCATGATGCACTGCATTATAGCAATACAGAGGCAGTTCAGAGCCAGTTAGTTAACTCCAGGCAGTTCAGATTACACAAATCGTTCTGACGCGATGTGCTCTAGGATGAGAAGCTGGAATTCAACTTGTTTCATCTTTGCTTGTTGTAATTAATAGTGGTGCTGTCTGGAATCTCACCTAACAGCCTGGCAGAGAGTTCCCACCCATAAAAGTCTGACTGATAGTAAAAACAATTCAAAATTGATCCTGGTGACTATCCCTGCCCTATTGGGACAAGGTATGAATTAGCTCTATTTCTCAGAAGGAATATGTTGATTTTCCTAATAGATGAGGACGATACATGCAGAAATGGCCTGTGAGCTTGGTATGATGTCATCATGATTGCCAATAAAATTAGATGAGTGAGTGCTGGGCAGGTGGCTCTCAACTCTGTCGGCTTCCTGTCTCAAAAGGAGATTATCCTGACAGCTGTAACAGAGTATTCTCCTTGCTCCCACTTCTTACAGTGTGATCCATGCCCACATCCCAAGAGAAATGCCATCTCTGCAGCTCCTCCAGTTGGTCAGGTCAAATGAATGATTCTTTCCCATGATTTTCCAGCTGCGGGATGCAAGCAACTTTCCTTGACTTCAGGGGGAGTCACTTGTATTCTGTGCTAGGAAACTAAGGCCTATTGGCTTCAAGGAATGATGTCCCAGGGAGGCCCTGGGTCAAGCCAAAGGAATATAAATCATCATGCAACTACAGAGGAGCGATTTGGTGAATCATAAAGAGGAAGGGTTTTTAAAAAGCAATAAACCTTGATTAACCCTCCAGAAAACACTGGAGACACTACTGGAGTCTATACCAAAGCATTTTGGTAGCATCATATCCTAGGAATTAAGGAGAAACAAGGCACCACATTTCTGATGTTTGTATCAGGCAATCTCTCTCTCTTTCTCTCCCCGCACTTCCCAGCTTCTCAAGCCAGTGAAGAAACACACATTCCTTTGTCCCCCATTTTCTTTTTAATGATTGTCTTTCCCCTTCCCTTTTCCTCTCTGAAACAAATCGCGTATTTCTCCATGCCGAAATACATGCATGGTCCCAGACTGCAGTCCTGGAGGAGGAAAGCTGCTTTCAGAGCTCGCGTGCAATGGAACAAGAGCAGCGTTACCCGTGTGAGATATGAACAGGAGCTTGCTCACGAGACCGCTCATCCCCTCCTGTATCGTAGGTACCCCATGGATTGAGTTTCAGATGGCAACAGTGAGGAAAGAGGACAAATTATTTCCATCAAGAAGGATTTACTCTGTATTGAGATACCTCCTGTGTCTCCTCCATCAATGGATGGAGTCACGGGAATTATTACTGATGCCAAAAAAGGCCAGTTTTGCACTCCTTCACCAAGCTTCAAGGTTTGTTAGGCTGAGGTCACTCTCAACTTTCCCCCCCATTTATAGTCTCACTGACTGATGAGGACGGGGTGACTATTTAGCTGATCACAATACAGAAGACTGCAAAGTCTACATTTACAAGTCTATTAAAAGCTTATGGTATTTCCAGACCATAAAGGGCAATAACTAGAAGACATTAGGATCTCATGTGCTGAGATCATAAGAGAGCTGTGCTGAAAACATAAGATAGCCCAGAATGGATGTGTTCCCATGAGAAGAATAAGAAATATGTTTTGCAAGTGGCCACCATGCTGGTTATAAGTGCTGGGTGATTTATGTGGGGACAAAAGAACTTAGTTTCCTTGTTCATTCACCACTGAGAAAGGCCCAACCAGAACTGGAGCACCCTCCTTTTCTGATGTGAGATGTTCTTTCATTCCCTGTGTTCATTCGGGTTTGGACTTCCCTCTGCCCTGGAGTAAATCAGTCACTCCCGGGACAAGAATGGCACTTGCTGCCTGATTCTGATATACAGCTTATGCTGGACTAAATAAGGAGCTAACTCCACTGGGTTTGTTACGGCAACAGTCATTACAGCTGTAGAGCAAATGTAAATGTCAGCAGAATCAGGCCCCTTCACATTTCTGCACCACATCTCTAGTAACACTGGGCTATACTTGGAAGAAACTGCTCTTTTCATTAGTCCCTGTTGGGGATTTCGTGGATGCTGATTATCTGCACAGGCAAAAAGCCATGAAGGGTTTTACAACAATAATATTTTGCACTTATATGGCAGTGAAATCCACCCACAGTGCACCGCTATGTAAATAGTCCATGATCCTAGGGTCTCCAGTGCACAGCACAAATGAGCTCAGACCAACGGGACAAACAGGTTTCAAGTACAAATAAAAAAAAAAAGACCTACCACACAATATCAGCCAGCAGCTGGAGATGCTGCTTCGGTGCCTGAACCCATTCCCCTCTGCTTGCCCAGGAGCGAGCAGGCTGCTTTCACTCCCGTGACATCTGCATAGGGAAGCAGAGCCCAGCTTTTCCTGACACATGAGTGGAGATGCTGTTGCATTAGTGATTTTAACCACTTCATCCTCCACCAACATTTTTGCTGTCCTGGCAATGAAAGGTGCTTTCAGGTTGCTGCCTCTAGCATATCATGCTTGAAGAAAGAAATCCTGATGTGGAGCCGCTAACAGCCACAGCGCATCCTGGACACAGTGCACCAGTGCCCATTATACCTTTATCTTTCATGTTTCACAGGAAATTGAAAGTGCCCTATGGCAAGGGTGGAGGGAGAGGCTGATTTTCCTTAAGCTTCCTTGGTAGGGTAAGGTGCAGCTCTGGTTATAAAGCAGAAGCTGCTGCCTTCACTAATTTATATAACAGAGGAGCAAACCCAAAAGAGATGCTTAATTCATAAGCTGGAGCAGCGAGAGAGAGAGATTTACAGGCTGGAAGAGACCTGCTTCTCTCTGCGTCTGACAGACTCCATTATTCGCACATTGAGGGATGCCTCTCCCTGCCTGACAGAGCTGATCCTGTTATTCCAGGCGGATGGAGTCCGCTCCTTCAACACGTATTCTCACATGTAACTGGCCCAGGTAAATCTGGAGTTTCTTGCTGGGGAGTCCAAAGGGAATCTAGATATGCCAACCGCTGACTCTCACTCTGCCTCATTAAGGAGGATGGTGAATGACTTGTAGTGGCCAAGACTCCAAGTCCTGTTGCTACCTCTTGCAACAGATAAAGAGAAGCCCTTTTACCCCTTCCTCTTGTCCGTGCTAGATGTACACATCACTGCTCTGATGAGCTCAGGGGAGCACCTTCATTTGCCCCCACATCACTGGGAGGAAGGATGAGTCCGACAGCCCTTTGCCCCTGATCTTTGTAATGAATCCCATGTCTCCTCAGAACAGCTCTGAGAGCAATGATAGAAGAGTGGAGAAGAGTGGGACTCCATCATTCATTATTTAGTGAACAACACCCCTTCATCCCATTTCATTTCCCTTGCAGGGATGCCAGCGGGTGAGGATGGAGCTGATCAGCTGCAGGTGTCCCATCACCTTGCTGATCTTTCACCAGCTGTTTATGGTACTGAAGTGCAGCCTGAGCAACCATCCCAATCCTATAACACCTGTGACCCCACCTGGCACCCCACTGTCACAAAACCAGATGCCCAGGACAGCAGAGCTGATAAGCAACAGGTTTGTTTCTGAACTCATCCATGAGCCTAGTAGAGTCCAAGCTCATTTTCAGATTTAACTCATGGGGTCCTAATTTCCCCTAAATACACAGGATTTTTGGCTACTTCCAAGTAGAAGAAATATGGAGGTGAAATATATACCTTCCTTCCAAGGAAGACTAGAAAGTGGGGAGCAATGAGGGGTAATTCACCATTCCTGATGGGACAAACACAGTTGCCAGGTACTGGCCTGTGGGCATGAAACCTGGCATGACTTGCAACGAGTGAATCAATGGAGACCGACTAGAATGTGGGTATATTCATTTTTTTCTTGTGGAGTTTAGTTGGGTTGGAAAAAGACTTGCATGAAAATCTGGAACAAACCTGAAGCATTTGAGTCATTTCAACGTGGAGCTCAGGTCATCTCGGTCTAGTTCCAGCTTGCACGAGAAGTTGCCCCGCATTGATGCTGTGTGCGCGGAAGAAGAGACTGGGCTCTGAAACCTTGCTGGTCGGGGAAATTAAAAGCAGGCTGGGGAGAGATTATTTTCTGAAACTGGTGGATATAATAGAGAGGGTTGGAGCTGGAAGCTGAGCTTCTCCCCCTACCTGACAGGTGCATTGTTATATATATCATCTCATCAGTGACTAGGGAAAAGCCATTTGTTAGGCTAAGAGGGTCCGGCTCTATTACATACGTCAGGTGTTTGGCTCAAAACCCTCCCACCAGTGTAACTGGGTGCAGCACTACATCATGTGCAGCACTGCAATGTAATCCCTTGCTTTACCAGAGCACAAGCCGACTGACCATTAAGATTAGAATGAACTCTCTGCCCAGGAAAAAGCAAAAACACTGGTCACTTCTCACTCAGAGAGTCCAAAAATACCTTTTAGAGGGAGGTCAAAGACAAGGAAACTGAAACACAGGGAGCGGGAAATGACTGGGCCAAAGTCACAGAAGAGGGGAGCACCAGAGCCTGAACTAGAGCTCCCAAGCTCCCAGGCTGCCTGCTGCCTGCACATAGAGCCAGGTACCCTACGGGTTTGGGGGTCTCAGCTTCATTCCAGCATCTCAGATAGTGTTTAATAGACTTAGGAAACTGAATACTGAACTGGGCTGGGTGATGGTCCTGTTCATACTGCCTCGCACCATTAACAGACCTGGTCTTGCATACCCCGTAGCCACTGGATCTAGAATAAGTGCCTAAGCTTGTTAGCAGTGAATCAGTTTAAAGGGTTTTGTCTTCTGCCGCTGTGCACTTTTCTTT